ATGACCTTGGCTCCTACAGTTTAGTACTTGGGCCAATACAGGTAACTTGGAACTGAACTCAAGGATTTAGGCCACACCTGGAGCAGACACAGGTTAGATCTCTGCTCCATTACCTACAGTGACCTCGGACAGGCTACGTCCCCCTCTCAAACCTCTGAACTCCTTATCTGCATACCAGGACAATACTAGAACCCACCTCACCGTGTGGTTGCGAAGATGACAAGGTGAATGTAACATAAAACAGGTGTGGGGTCCATATCCAACATGCCTTGGACATGCATTCAAGAAAGAGTGACACTTATTTATAGCAAACCACTGATGTCCCCATCGTTGTATGACTTAGTGAGATATTTACATATCTGACAGAGGAGCCGTCCTATATGACTGATGAGTGAGATACAGACACCATTTGGAGGGGGAGTTCCTTTCAATCAGTCTCCTAACTCCAAGAACAATATGTTCAGTGTGATGTGTGATATGTATGGCGCTGTCTTCAGATCAGAGGGCAGAGGGTCATCATGTCACCAGATGAGAAGAGCTCTTTAGAAACACATTTCAGCCCTCTCCCCTGCCAGTACTTAACTGCAACCTTGAAATGAGAACCATCATTTAACTTTAGCAGTGCTCCCAGATTCTCAGGGGTGGTACAGATTCAACCACCCACAGGATGGTTGAATCTCCCAGAAACTGTTTTCCCAAGGCTAGAAGGATTGTATCAGCCCTGTGAGGGGTGACCTGAAGTGAAGTGGGCAACGTGACTGGAGTTCCAGCAAACAACAAGACAGAGCCCTCCAGTTTGCAACAATGGCAGAACAGGTTCTCTTAGTGTGTGGAGTCCCTGGGCAGTACAGACAGTTAATTCATTTGTCTGCTAACAGAGATGTTGAAGGTTCGGGTCCACGCACAGGCAGCTCCAAAAATCAGCCCGCTGGAGTACAGTTGTACTGTAACACACACACGGGATCACCCTGAGTTGGCGGAAGGCTGGCAGTTCAAACCCACCAGCCACTCCTCGGAAGGAAGACTGGGCTACTTCCATAGAGATACCACCTCGGAAATCCAAACAGGGGTCACTATGAGTCAGATTCAACATGAAGCAAAGAGTCTGGTTTTGTTTGTTTGTTTGTTTATGGCCCCAGAACTTGTTACAAATGTCAAGTCTCAAGACCCTCCCCAGATTCACTTCATAAGACACATAAGACTATCACTTTCCATTTTCATAAGTCACCGCCACTACCACCTGACCCACCAGGGAATTCTGATCCATGTTCAAGCTTGAAAACCACGGGTAAGAGTACTCTGAGGTTTCAAAGCTTAAACCAATCCCAGGAAACATACTCAAGCAACAGCCAATAAGAAAGGAGAGGAAGCCTTCAGTATCTTGCCCCCTTTCAACCAGTTTCAGTAGGAAGACAGGGTTAGCTACCTCACTGTCTGACTTCAATTCTGAATCCCACAATGCTTCTGGAATAAGAAAAGAGAACAGCAGGATGCTTCCTGATTCTCCAACAAGTGCCAAGGTGCACCCCTCAAGGGCAGAAACTGAGTCTGATCCATCTGTGTTTGCTGTGCCTAGTTCAAGGCCTGGCAACCAGCCCTAGGGAGCGTGGGGAACAAACCGAGTGACCTCCTGGGGAGGAAACAAACGGCCAATGATCTTAGCTCCTGAATCCAAAAGGGCAAAGGCTTAGGGGGGCTGACTCCAGCCAGCAACAACCAAAGTGAAACAAGAACACAGGATCATTTTGTCACCTACTTCCTGAAAACATATATCCACTTGACCTTAAAAACAGGCCACCACAGACTCAGCCGGCAAATTAGCAGGGATCTTAAGACGTGAGGCATGTGGAACTTCTGCTGGAAGCTGCCTAGGCCCCACAATGACCAAGACCAGAAGGGAATTGAAAACCCAGATCACTGCTTCACTTCATCTCCACCCTTAATCCCAAACGCAAGTTCGCTAGAGGTCATGTCTGCAGGAGGCTCCCCTGCCTGGGTTCAAGGACTCCAGCCCTGGGAGATTGGTCAGAGGTGTAATTCTCCTGTTGGAGTGCATGTCCCCAAGTGTCCCCAGGCAAGTGGTGGGGTCCCTCAACCATGGAGACTTTCCAGAAGCATGAACTGTTGACTGGAGGCAGCCCTGTCACCCTCCAACCTCAGAAGTCCCCTCCCTGGCACTTCCATACCTGTAATAAGACAGAAGTCCATTGCTGAGCACGAACCAGCGCCTCTGATAGCCCTTCAGGTAGTTGGTCCACTTGAGGAGCCAGCCCTTGAAGCTGTCCACAGGCAGTAAGATCGTTGGGGCGGCGGAGGTCATGCCAGGCCCTGAAAATGTTCCCCCAAACAATGCCCTTGACTGTCCCGGTCGACAAACAGGCAGAGGCCCCGGCAAGAGTTTGGTCAAAGGCAAGTTTTCCTGCTGAACTGTTGTGGTCTTGGTGAAGGACCCGGCCCCTTCACCTGGGCCAGACCCCGGCCCCAGCCCCAGCAGCAGCACTTCGGGGCCCTGCCCGGGCTCGGACTCAGACACCGATTCGGATACAGGCTCGGATCTCGACAGGAGCTCAGAAACCGACTCCGACACCTGTTCCAACATCTATTCTGACTCGGACACTACCTAGAGCTGAGGCTTTGGCCGCGGCCGGGAGCCGGGCGTGGAAAAGCTCAGCTCGGCGCTGCCGTGTGGCAGAACAGGCAGGGGACAACGGCGAACAGCGAGGAGAGCCCGCGGGAGCGACCGCCGCCTCCACCTCAGTTCCCATCGGCCGCTTTCCGGGTACAGCCAGCCCACCAGAGCGCGGCCTGCCCAGCGCTGGGGAGGGGGCGGGGCTTCTGGAGGGGGCGGGGCCGCCGCGGGGTTGGCCCGACGCTGCGGAGGCCGCGGGGCTGAGCAGAG